CCAAACAGTCCTACACACGTCCCACTGGCCCCACACATGTCCGAACGGCCCTGTGTGCATCCCAACAGCCTCACACACGTCCCACCGGCCCCACACGCATCTGAGCAGCCCCGTGCTCGGCCAGTTTTTCGGAAGCAGACAGCCAGGCCCTCTTCTGAGGTGCCTCTGGGTGGCCTTGAATTGCTGCCCTTCCAGACCTGCGCTCTGCCCGGGCTGACGAGGCCCGCAGACAAGCGTGCTCACTGCTCACACCACCCGGGGACTCCGGGCTGCCGTCAGGTGCCGTCGAGTTGGCTCTGACTCACAGTGACTCCGTGCCAACAGAGTGAACCCCCGCGGTCCCTGCTATGCCTTCCCTCTGGTCCGTCTCCTGTGAGCACACGGGTACTCTCTTCCTCATATGCTTCCTGAGTGCCTACTGTGTGTCAGGCCCTGGGCTGGGGTCCCCAGCAATCCCTGCTCCCTGGGGCTCACAGCAGCGAGGGGCAAGCGGGCAGAGGTCTGGGACGTGAGCCGACACAGGTGCACCCCAGACGGGAGTGGAGCAGATTGAGGAGAAGCTTCTGCGGAGGGTGGGTGGGCACATGGGGCGGGTCAGAGTGTGCTGCGGGCAGGGGGACGCTCCGGGAGGCAGAAGGAGGGACCCTGCAGGGCCCCGTGTCCCTCCCACCAGGTCGAGGGGCCTGCCACCTTCACACACCTTTCTACTCTCCAAAGGGAGTCCCTCTCTCCACCTGACCATTCCTCCTGGACTCGCGCTCGGATGGGGGGACTCATAGGTACCCAAGGCCGGCCTCTGGACACATCCCTGTCCCTGCCTTCCCTCCTCAGGGCTCCTGATCCATGTCCTCCAAAAGGTGGTGCCAGCATCCCGTCTCCCGAACAGCAAGGCTCCCCGGAAGGAGTGCTCCCAGAGCTCCAAGATATAAAAAGCAAACCAGACATCAGAATGAATTTCTCGCGTCTGCTGCTGCCGCCGCCTGGGGCGCACGACCCTCCCTGCATTCAGAGTGCTGAGCTGAGCAGGGGGCCTCTTCCATCTGCCCTGAGCCAAGTTCAGCCCTAAAAGGCCCCCAGCCACGCCCCGGTGTCGGTACCATCCCAAATTACCTTTCTCTCAGAATCCCACAGCCAGGCTATTCCTGGCTGCACAGATGTGCCCAGCTGGGGATGTGGGAGACTTGGCTTTGATGCAGGAGAGGCAGAGACAGAGGCAAGCAAGCCCAGTGCCCCGCCCCGAGCTCGTTGAAGCCCGCCCAGGAGGTGCATTTGGCCTGTGCACCACGGCGGGCAGAAACAGCCCTCGCAGCCAGCCTGGGCCTGAATGCACGGCGCCCGCGTCCCCAGCACACACCTGGGTGGGCTTCTCAGAGTAGGATGAGTCACCCCATATGGCCTTGGGTTTGGTCGCCGCGAGCACAGGGACGCCGAGGGCGGCCGGGCTGACACGGGACACAGTTGGAGCCGAGCCTTCACCACGTCTGTGTCCAGTGGCCTCAAGCAGTTCCATCCCCCACTTGAAGCCGGAGATGATACCTCTGGGTGCCGCCTGGACAGCTGGTGTGAGGTCCCAAGTCAGCGGAGCCTGGAGTCAGTCCCAGAGGCAGCAGGGTCCCCTACAGCTAGTGGCTTCTCTGAAGAGTCGCGGGTCCTCTCAGCCTTTGTGGGCACAGACCCACAGCTCACGCCCTGCTTGAACCCCGGGGTCTCCCTGGCTGTGCCCCCGAGCCTCATGCTCGTCAGCCTCTTGTGGCCTCACCTGCTGGCCCTGCCACCACGTCCCCAGGTCCAGCCACCCAGGGCTGCTTCCACGTCCCTCAACACCCACTGCCCCTGTCATCCTCCGCCCAGGAGGCCCTTGGCCATGGGACCTCTGACCGCAATGAGGAGAATGGACCGGGGTGCAGATCAGAGGCT